TCTATTAAACTGGCATTCTATGATACACACCATTCCAACATGATCACTGAAGACAAAGAGGGTGCATAAGCAAATGTGGTGAAGAAAGCAGATGGAGCTTGGCTATCAAAAGATATAGCTTCTAGGGTCTTAAAAACTTGAAGGTAAACAAGCGGCCATCTAGCTCAGAATCAACAAAGCCGACATGGAAGAAGCACACCAGCCTGTGTGATCACGCGGTGTGGAAGGGATCAGGTATCAGGCATCAAAGAACAAAAAATCATATCATTGTGAATGATAAGGAGTGTAGCTTGGAGACCCAAGACCCACTTGTAGGCAATTGGGCATCCCCTAACAGAATGGTCATGGGGAGGAAATGAGCCAGTCAGGGTGCAGCGTAGCAATGATGAAACATACAACTTTCCTCTAGTTCCTAAATGTTTCCTCCCCCCCACTATCATGATCCAAATTCTACCTTACAAATCCAGCTAGACCAGAGGATGTACACTGGTACAGATAGGAACTGGAAACACAGGGAATCCAGGACAGATGATTCCTTTAGGACCAGTGCTGGGAGTAGTGATACTGGGAGGGTGGAGGGAAGGTGGGGTTGAAAGGGGAAACCGATGACAAGAATCTACATATAACCCCCTCCCTGGGGGATGGACAACAGAAAAGTGGGTGAAGGGAGACGTCGGAAATATAAGATATGACAAAATAATAATAATTTATAAATTACCAAGGGTTCATGAGGAAGGGGTAGCAGTGAGGGAGGGGGAAAATGAGGAGCTGATACCAAGGGCTCACGTAGAAAGCAAATGTTTTGTGAATGATGATGGCAACAAATGTACAAATGTGCTTGACACAATGGATGGATGGATGAATTGTGATAAGAGTTGTATGAGCCCCCAATAAAATGATTTTTTAAAAAAGATTGCATTGATGTCAACTTGAAATTTTGAGGAGACTGTCCTAGTCTTCAAACTTTCTCTCCTTTTATGTACTTAATCGATATTTGGTAAAAGAAGGAAAGAAAGGAAGAAAAGTAGGGAGGAAATGAGGAAGAGAGGGAGGGAAGGGGGGAGAAGAAGGAAGGTAGGACGTATACTTGGGTTTGCTCACTCCTTGTTTAGCCTTTACTAACACCATTCCACACTTACTACCAGTTTCCTAAAGGTAAACAGAGAGCTCATATGTAGCTACCATATTTGTCAAGATAATCCACTCTATATGGCCTAAGTGGAATGCATACCTCTCTGGCCTTTAAGAACCTCCACTGATCCTCCCTCTTGCCCAACTAGCATCTTGCTGTCCATTGTCAACAGTGACTCCTGCCATGAGGCTCTTTGTACTGCCAGTCTTTAATTTGAAAAGCTCTCTTTGTTCTTATCCTTGATCTATGGGACCTTGGGGATCATCAGGTTCAAAACTTCCCAGCTAGAGCTGGAAACCTCTTCAGACCATTCCTGATCCACCATCAATCAAATCCTGCTTTGAAAATGATCTTTTACTTGCCCCTAAAAGTTATTACAAATTTAGCTCGGTTAAGAAACTCTCCCTCATCAATGGATCAGTTCATTCATTGTGAATGATAGGGAGTGTAGCTTGGGGACCCAAGACCCATTTGTAGGCAACTGGGCATCCCCTAACAGAATGGTCACGGGCAGGAGATGAGCCAGTCAGGGGGCAGGAGGCATGCATTCATCATGCACTCACCTTGGTCTGTCAAGAAATTCACTAGTCCCTGGAGAACATGAACAAGTCATTGTCCCTCCCACTGCTCTTGAGGAGCCAATCGATTGGGTCTGATAAGAAACAGGTATGTGAGCAGAGCAGTATTACCGCAGCCAGTAAGACATCATCAGTGTATGTGCCAACTGCAAAGCTGGGGCAGAAGGCAAATTGTTCTTCTTCTTTTAAAAAAAAATCATTTTATTAGGGGCTCATACAACTCTTATCACAATCCATACATAGATCAGTTGTGTAAAGCACATTTGTACATTCATTGCCCTCATCATTCTCAAAACATTTGCTTTCCATGGAAGCCCCTGGCCTCAGCTCCTCATTTTTTCTTAAGAGTAGCAAGGACACAGTCAGCGAGGCATCGCAGAGGCAGTACTTCAGAAAGTGAAAATGAAAAGTCATCTTGGAAATATTCAGACCAAGAATCTGAAATGGGGCAGGGATATAGGATTCAGACTCTGTTCCATATTGATAGCTCTTTCCTGTCGAGGATGTCAGGGTATTGAATAATGTGGGCTCACTGAAGGGGTCTTTTCATACGTTGCCTGTGGCTGGGGAAATTAGTCAAATGCTTTCAGAAACAATTTGGCAAAATGAATGAAGAACATACTTAGAACTAGTAATCACACCTGTGGGACTCTGGAGGAAATCATACTCAAAGTGAAAAATATCAAATGCACAAAGACAGTGTATATTATAGCACTACACCAGGGGGGGGTGGGGGGTGGGGCAGAATTGAGGAATCAACTCCATCCCTTCACTGGAAGATAGGCAAAGAAACTATGGTACATTTATTAGACAGACTCAAATACAACTACTCATTTCCCATCTCATGTGACAACTAAAAATATATGCTGACTAAAAATGGGAGAAAATATTATTACTAGTCTAGTCTTAAACTCATATGCATATAAAAGCAACAATAAAAGGCCCTAAGAAATGATACCAAAATTATAATAAAAGTTGATCTAGAAAGAGGGGCACTTAAGAAACATTTTCCCTATGCTCAATTTTGTATTATACAGTTGTTTTATTCCCTTAAAACCTGCATGTAGTTTTAATCGGTGGATTTCATGCTCTACAAAGTTGATATGAATTTCTTCCAAAAGTCATCATGTCTTCTAGTTTTTTTCTTCCCTCCTTCCCTTGAGAATGCATGCCCAAGTATGAGTATGTAGTGAATGTCTACTCAACACACAATAGAGCTCACAACTGGAGCAATCTCCCTAAACTTCACTTTCCAATTGTCTGAAGACCATTACAAGATGCAACGACACTTGACACTTCACGTAGCTTTTTTATGTGCTAGACCCTATGCTAAGTGACTCTCAGATTTTAATTCATTAAAAACAATGGTCCCTTGTGATATGTATAATTATTAACATTCTATTTTTAGCTAAGCAAATTAAGAACCATAAAGGTTAGCCACATATCCAATGTTATCTAGCTGATTGGAACAAAGCCAGGATTTGAACCCCAGGTGTATACCTCAAGGGTCTTGGCTCTTAATCACTCCAAAAAGGAAAGGAAATAGCCAGCTAGCTAGCCAAACAGGCAGGCCAATAGGCATGTAAACCTATATACAGCTGGGGAGTAGGGATGGGTGACTGCGCTGCAGAGTGGATGAAGTAAGATAGAGCGCAAGGATTTCTAATGTACCTCTTCCAAAACCACAGCCTAATGCTCTGTCTTGCAGAGTGCAAGAATGGCAGAGGTAGGGAGATGCCATCTGAGCGACCATCTCTGAAGCAAATAGCGGGCTCAGCGTTGGAGAGTGATTAGAAGTAGCCCTTCGCTGAAGGTGAAAAGGTTAGCAGAGCGATGGTTTCCCATAAACAAGGCCTTGATAGTGTCTTTCCCTATACTCCTGAGTCAGATATGATGATTGCTTCTTCTCTGGTGAGTTTATTTAGATGGCAAAGCTCACATTTTGCCTAGAATTTTAGATAGGTCAGGATTATATCAGGTCTTCTAGGGCCATTCTATTTATATCCGGCACATTCTTTCACCTCTAATAAACACATACACATACACACAAACACACTTTCTTATAAATATAACAGTATAAATTAAAATCTATTAGAAAAAGTGAGTGCTCTACCTGGTACATAGAAAGGCACTACTGACCCTCAAGGAAAAGCGATAAACCAAAGGCGGGCAAGGGTTGTGATGTAAACGCAATCATAGCTCTAAGAACGTTAAGTCTTGAATCAAATGCTTCGTGATCCGTTGTTGGAACTGGTGGTTTCTCTGTGACATCTAGCTACAGTAATGGTTAAATGATCTAATCTGGCCTCTTGGTCAGGAGCCCTGATCTCACAGGAGTCAAGTGACCAAACGGCCAGCAGTTCAAACCAGCCAGTGTCTCCACAGGAGAAAGATGCGCAGTCTATGTCCGTGAAGATCTACAGGCTTGGAAACCTGATAGCACAGGTCTACCTTGACCTATAGGGCTGCTTTGAGTTGGACTTACTTCAACAGCAATTGGCTTTCTTGGTTTATGCTATCCTGTGTTTTTAATTAATTATTCCCAAGTCTGACAAATAGAGTTCTAAACCATCCACCCCCAAATAAGACCAATACTGTGTAAAGTAACCAAGAACCCAACCATAGCTGGGGTCAGTTGGGACACTTCCTCTATTAGAGATTTCAAGATGTGGGTGCCAAGCCACGTGTGAAATGCTTACGTTGCAGCCGCCCGTGCTGACACGCACTCCTGCCTTCTGTCTCACCCAAGAACAAGCAGGAGCTCTACAGCTAAAGGCTTTCCTTTCATGAAACCTCCACAGAAGGCCACCTAGTTTTTGTAGTGAAGAACTGACATCTTAGCCCGTCTTACCTAATCAGTGTGAGGACGTGCCTCAATGCCCCATATCAAAAGACAAGTTTACTCTTCATTCGTTGAAGCTGTGTTCTTACAGTTTAGATTTTACTATTATTAGTGATGAAAACCATGGGAAAGAAATATGAAGAAAAATATCCTCATCTATGAAATCTAAGAAACTTATGACACTCAAAGTTAAGGTAGCATAATCTCCATATCTTTTGGTTCTTATTTCAGGGTTCTTTCTATAAATATAACATGTCATCTTCAATTGATCATGCCATATTGAAGGAAATATCACGTAGCCATGAAGCTTATGGAGGGGCAAAGCTGCTGCAGTCCCTGCTACACACACACACACACACACACACACACACACACACCCCACACTCACACTTGAGAGACCCTTTGTCGGACCGCATTCCCAAGGTTAGGGAAGAAGCGCAGCTCTTACTCATTTCCATGTACTCGGGAGTCAGTCCAGTGTACGGTTCCAAGCTGTGGTCTAGGTCCCACTGCTCGGGATGTTTTGACTGAGCAGAGTCCGTTTCTCCGGGTTCTGTCTCATCTTTCAGTTTCCGAAAGAGTTTCTTTAGCTTCCTGGAAGAGAGATGCGACAGTCACCAAAAGACTCGGGAGGGCAGGCTTATTTTTACAGACAGAAAGGAGGACAAGGAAGCTGTTGACCTGAAAGCCTTCTCTGATCCAAGAACAGAGAAGACAGCTACGACTATGATTTTTCTCCTGAAGATGAGCTCAGAGTCTTTACCCAATAGTAAAATGCTACATCAACAAGGGGGCAGGCTGCTTTAAACCCAAAGAAAATTTCGAGTTCGTCTTCGGGTTTGCCAAGTCACAGCAGGGCGGGGGGGCCTTTTCCATCCAACGCTGAGCTGGGTCAGTCTTCGGATTTCACAGACCACTGGTCCATCTCTACCTGCAGAGGGCAGGGAGGTCCAAACACAGTGGAAAGATGCTCTCCTCCTAGTTCTCCTGGATCACACGTTCTCAGGTTTTAATAACATCAACCACACCATCCTTCTATTTAATGCCAATTCCAATCTAATCCATATCACATTCAGGACAAAATAATAATGGCCCAACTTCTTGAGGTTTGTGTGAAGATTAAGTAAAATAATGTTTACACAGTCCTTAGTGGAGTCTCTGGACACAATAAGTATTCACACATTCTCCTCCCCACCTCCCACAAGGGACTTTTAAAAATTATGTTGTGGGTTGGATGAAACTTTACAGAGAAAATCTGCTCTCCATTCAACAAGTTTTAGACATTTTGCTTCATAAAATTAAAAAGTCCAGGTAATATACTCAGTATTATTCAAATTTATATACCAAACCCTAAAACCAGTGATTAAAAAAATCGAAGAAGTCCACCAACTTCTTCAGTCTGAAGTTCATCAAACATGCAATCAAGATGCACTGATAATTATTGTCAATTGGAATGTAAGAGTTGGAAACAAAAATGAAGGGGTGGAAAATAAGGCCTTGGTGATTAAAATAAAGCTGTTGCTTATAAGACAGATTGTGCAAGACCAACAACTTCTTCATTGCAAATACCTTTCTTCAACAGCATAAATGGTGACTCCATGCATGGACATAATGAGATGGAATACACGAGAATAAAAATAATTATGTCTGTGGAAAGAGATATTGGAGAAATCCAACATGCTAAACAAGCCAGGAGCCAAGTGTGGAACAGACGATCAATTGTTTAGATGTAAATTCAGTGTGCAATTGAAAAAAATTAAACAAGTCCATGATTTGACGTTGATTATATCCTGCCTGAGTTTCAAGACCAGATTTCACACCTTGAGCACGAATGACAGATGATCTGATGAGCTGGGGTATGACATCAAGAGGAAAGTAACAGGTCCATAAAATGACAAGAAAGAAAAGATCAAAGTGGATGCCAGAAAATGCTCCGAAACTTGCTCTTGATTGTATATTAGCTAAAGCAAATGGCAGAAATGATGAAGTAAAAGAGCTGAACAGAGCATTTCAAAGGGCAGCTCAAGAAGACAAAGTAATGAATGAAATGCATAAGCCCTTAAGTTAGAAAGTCAAAGGAAAAGAATATGCTCAGTATATATCTCGAGCTGACAGAATTGAAGAAAAGATTCAGGCCTTGAGTTGCAAATATAGAAGGATTCTATAGGCAAAATATTGAATGATGCCGGAAGCATCAAAAGATATATATATAAATATATACAAAAATAATATCATTCTGTGACTGACTGGGAAGGGGCTGAAAACCACAATGGTACGTGAAGTTAGTCAATCACAAAAGGACAACTATTGCATAAATCCACTACTATAAGTAGAAACACCAATTAAACAAATATTGAAGACCAATTCCCAAATAAAAGGGTAGAATATCTGCCATGAACCGTATACCACCCTCGCAAGGTGCAACTCATAAGAACCACCTCAAAGGAAGAGACCTCCCAATGGCTGGGGTCAAGGGAGAAGACCATCCAACATTGAGACAAGGTACCCACAAAGCATTAGGCCCTCCACAGGAGTGAGAAGAGCCCCTTACTGGAAAATTGAGGTAAGACCAGGGGCAGGGAGCATTTACATTGCAGAGGATGCACTGATATTTCTAATGGCAGGTATGGTGGGTAAATGGGGCGGAGCAACCTCATATCAGGAAAGGAGGCTAAACAATAATTGGAGGGAACCTAAGGGGAGAATAAACCCAGTTCTATGTTTCTGGGTGACACTTCGAATGTTTCTACCCAATCTTGGTCAACCATGCCTTGTACTAAGCAAGAAATAAGCCTTAAATGGAGGAACATGGCATCCCCCAAGGGTCATCCCAGAAGGACTCAATGTGGAAGCCCAATTGAACCTCAAAAGTACCTGTGCCCTTGGATTTAGGACTGAAATACCCTAATAGGAGAAGAAGTAAGAAATGACCACCCCAGGACTGTGGAAATGGCGATCGTTGGACCTTGGGTGGAGCCTCTGGCTTTAGTGAGTGTCCAAGGAAAATGGACCCAGACCCACCATATACTTAGTATTTCAATGCTCCCCTTGCATTAATATGACAGGTATTAATCTGCTAGGCAAGCATCTTTCCTTGTAAGAAATGGTATAGGTTCTTCCATGTGGGCTTTGTTGCTTCTGAGCTAGATGGCCGCTTGTTTACCTTCAAGCTTTTAAGACCCCAGGTGCTGTATCTTTTGATAGCTGGGCACCATCAGCTTTCTTCACCACATTTGCTTATTCACCCGATTTGTCTTTAGCGGTTGTGTCGGGAAGGTGAGCATCA